TTAAACATCAAATTACGCAACTTTGCCCCCATTTAACCAACCCTGTATATCTTACCGTTTCCGAGATCCCAATGATGTGGCTCGAATTTGAAACACCCTGTACTTCTTAAAACGCATTCAAAGTAGGGAAATTTCAGATGTTACCGGTTGACAACGGCGCGCGACGTTGTATGATTTGAATAAACATTTTCAAATAAATAACACGTGTCGATTCATTTTGTTATTTCTAGCTGTCAGTGGTCTTGATAATTTTTTATTACATTCTGGTAAATTATAAGGAAAAAAATAGGCATTGGCAACATTGTCAGTCCTTGTTCTACGACGTCATCCTAAACATAACGTAAAAAACCTATAGGAACATTTTTTGTATTTTGTTTTGAATGAACCCAAAGAAGCATTAACGTTGTTCATATATTTTTTTGTTTGGCAGATAATGTAATTTACCATCCTTAACTTTATTTTGTGATACTGCTACCATTAGTGGAAGAATTTTTAATTGAAATACCTTTAAACATAAAGCTACAAAGAAAATTAGCAGGTAATAAAAAATCGGGTTTCTCTCACCACAACGAAATCGGTTCCGAATATTTAAATTTTATCAGTGGTATAAATAATTATTAGCACGCCACTGTATAGCATATCATTGAGGTATTCGAAATTTTTAATCATAAAAATACGCTAATCGAAAGATATAACAAATGCTAATAAAATTGATTTAATGAAAAATAATAATTTCTCTTTGCACGCCACTGTACAGCATATCATTAAGGTATTCTATATTTTTATTCATAGTAAATACGCTGGCTAAAAGGTATAACAATTGCTAAAAAAATTCACCGGTAAGAACGATTCAGGATGGTTTAGAACGGAAAAATCGAAAAAATTAATATGGTTATGTTAAATAAACGATATTTTAAAAACAAAGGCAAATATCAAAATTTTGAGAAATTGGTTTCTTAATAATATGTCAATGATTAAAGTGAACTAAACAAATGAAACTTCAAATAATTAGTTTTAAAATTATGCACCTTTGAATGTAAAATTCGGTGAGCCAATAATAAATTATTCCGAAAATGGGTGATTAATTAGTACGCTACTGGACACCACATTATTTAAGTAATTTTTTTTCATTGAAAATAAACCAGGATATCGTGGGGTATATAAAACAGCAGCATAAGATGCAAGATTTATTGTACAGGATGGTTTAGGTGCTTAAAAGTTGAAAAAAGTGGAGGTTATGAAAAAAAATCGATATTTTTAAAACTAAGGCAGGTATAAAAAATTTGAGAAATTACTTTTTTTGCAGAAGATCATTGATTAAAAAGCCGCATAGAAATAAAATTTAAAAAATTATCTGAGAAAGTTAGACACATTCAAAATTGGGATGAAAAACATGGTCTCTTTTAACACCCTGTATAAAAAAAAAGTAGACATTTAAAAAAATTTCAAAATAGCAATTTTTTTCACAAAAAGTCAATCTGTCAGCCCGTGAAAACCGCAGGTCGATATCTAGTCTGGTTCCAAAAATATCGATCTTGAAAGATAGGCGATATTTACCTTGTTCGAAAGCAATTGTACAGCAGTTTAGTTGAAGTTTTGCTGGAAAAAAAAAATAAGTTTTTGAAGTCCTGAATCTCGAAACCTTTTGGTCGTACAAAACTGCACTTAGTCTCTAAATGAAGAAAATTTTATCCACTTCAAAAAAGCTAGGATAATTTTTTAATATAGCATCCATTAGGTACTTACGACTTATAACCCAAAAAATAATAGTCCAAGAGCCCAGAGCCGCCAGACACAACTTATTTTCTAAAGGACAGAATATGTGGGATTGTGTAGCACTTATATGTACTATGAACATATGTATACCCGCTAAGTTGGGTAGACGGCCAATTTACCGACACCAGGTGCGAAAGCTTAAAAAGTACTTTAACTTTTTTTCTAACGCTTGATTTTTATACATGTTATTGGGGAGACTATTTCATAACTACGTGTGCTCAGCCAGACCAATCGCACCGGCCAAACATCCCCCCAGACGCAATAATAGTTTTTCCGTGAGTGTGAGCGCGAGGGTACTATGCATGCATTTGAGAGTCAGCGAGATATCTATTTCCCCCTCTTAAACTTACAGTCTACTCCAGGCTAGAGTAGAAATGGGATTCGGTTTTTCCCATAATGGGAAAAAACCGTTATTTACAAATACCAGTCAACTGGCCGTCTACCCAACTTAGCGAGTATACATACGTTCATAGTACCTATAAGTGCTACTCAATCCCACATATTCTGTCCTTTAGAAAATAAGTTGTGTCTGGCGGCTCCGGGCTCTTGGACTATAAGGAAAGGTCTGAAAATATCGTGGTTTTCCCCCATACAGCTGATATGAATCCTAACAACATATCAAAAATTCATAGCTACCGGATTTTTTGCGAACTAGGATGGATTAGATGACTGGCCTAGGAGTGTCCTAGAGAAAAGGAAATTTGCCTTCTTCGTCAGTGATGACGTCAGGGGTTCTTCTCAGTTGGTTCTAACTATATAGAAGGTCAAAGAAGATTTTAAAAATTATAATGAAATTTTCATTCCGATTTTCTGATTCTTTTTCTTCCCTGGTAGAGACGGTCTTACGACCACAAATGAAATACTGTTGATGGTATGCTGTTGGAGAGGCTTTGGGTGTAATTTACCAAGGACAATTAAGCAAAAAATATGTTCTCCATTAAAACCACGAATTTTCACAGATGATGGCTTGAGTCTGATCAATGTGGAAAAAAGTCGCGCAGATGCATAAATTAATTGTAGTACCCATGTAGGACGCTTACTTTTTCGATTTAAGTACTTTTTTAATTAGTTAGATGGTAAATGGCGAGCAGTTTCATTGATTCTATTCTTATTTCCTACTAAGCTGTGGAGGGGATCTATTCACAAATGAGAGAAACAACTGTATCAAGGTTTACACTCTATACTGCTAGTACAAAGTAATAAAACTAATATTTACCCCAAGTCTTACAGCCACCACTATGTTTGCTAATTCAATTCACTACAACACTTTTTAATCTTCAACATCCTACAAGATTCGTCCTTTATTTTTCGGAACTTGAATTATTCTTTTTACCAAATTCCAGGTCAACATTACACAATTTATTTAAATTCTTTTAATGGGCTACTAGAGCCCTTAATCTTCAGTAGTCCAAATCAATTCAAAATCTTCAATAAACTCATTCTACTAATCGACAATCGTTAAATGCATTATAATTTCCTATTTAAACTCTTAGCAAAAATATTAAAGAGTCATTCCACTCAAAGTCAATTAAATTTTTGCAATATTGCTCCATAGTCATTTCACATTCATAGTCATTGCAATTAATTTCAAATAAAAGACTTCTTATCTTATAATGTAGGTACTTACTATAATACCTAGTTGTCATTAAATTTAGTATATCATTAAATTCACTACACTGGCTCTAACTATCAAAGTATTTTTGTTTTAATTGCTTAGCATGCACAAAATCGACTTTAAGATTTGAATTGACTTCTAACTTCTTAACTTGTCAAAATAGTCAATTAAATCGCGAATTTAATTTGAACCCTAGGCAGAAAATTAAAAAAATAACTTTTTCGAGGAGACTCAAATCATTGCCAATTTCTACTGCTCTTTATTTCTAAATGTAAGTGTAATTTTTAATTCCTTAAGTTGCCTCTTCCTCTCATTGTAATCTGTTTAAACAGTTTTCAATCCCATCATAAATCTCCGCGTGAGTTTAAGGTAATCGCCTCTATTTCGAAGAATCGTTATTCTCTAAGTTTATCTCCGCAATTACCCCTCCACCTGCGTGTCCTTATTTAGTATTTATCGGAATAATGTCGTATGAATTTTCGCTTCCGTTTCCGCTATTCAAAATCGCCGACAGCGCATGTACACAATTAAACAAGTTAGCCTTGTAATTAATGTCGTTTGGTGTTTAGATGCTGACGTCACACACATAACCTCAATGACATGTTTCTCCCCCTATCGAAAGTCATGTTATGTCACTGGTGACAAGTTCGCGCTTGTGTGTTAAATAGACCTTCGAAATGCTTTGTTTGTCCCCCAACGGAAGTGAGGTTATGTGTGCGACGTCAAACCCTTTTTTTATGTGTCATTCAATGTGTCATGAAATTTTTTTCAAAAAAATAGTGCTCATTGTTCATTTGTGTTTTGATACTCGTTCTTTTTACTCGTATTTTTATTAATGTTAGAAATAGAACAGATCCCTAGGTCACTTCTGCAGTGATATCCAACCCCTCTGAAGTACTGAACCCCTAGAAGCAGTACTTCATGACAGGCAGAATCGAAAGCTTTTTTCAGGTCACAAAAAACTACCGCGGCCACTTCTTCGTCATTTATCTTCTAATACAGCTCATCCAGGAGATGAAATATGGCATTATCAGTGTTTTTTGACTGCTGAAACAGAGACAGAGAAAGCAATTTATGTCTATCAAGGGAGCTCACCATCCACCTTAATTAGCCACTCTACAATTTTAGTCAAAGTTGGCAGTAAGGATATTGGCCGGTAATAAGATGGTAAATTCTTATCACCCCCCTATAAACAAAGGTATAACCCAAGATTCAAAATGAGGGAAAACTTCCGGTAAGAAAATAATTAATAATGGAATCCGCCAACACATCAACAGCCTAATTGAGATATCGTTCCATCCAGAAGATTTTCTATTTTTGATACTCAGTTTCTGAGCAATCGTACAGTAGTATGAAATAATAGGGGAATTAATATTATCTGCTTTCAAATTGGAAGCACATATGTATATTTCCTATTTTTTTTTTTCGCGTAGGTCGTTACTCTTTTTGTTTATTGGATGCGGATGCCCAACCTCTCATTGTAATAAATCTTCCTTGCCTGTTTCATCGTCTTTCTGCAGATGCTCCTGTATCCATTATTTAAAGTAGGTCATAAAAAATACATTATCAATATCAAGAGCAAACTTTCTTAAGGAATAAAGACACCTAAATTTTCTAGAAGCAATTCTTAAACCTTTTGTGATACAAGGCTTTTTCTTTTTCGATTTTAACTTGACTAACGGAAATGCATGGTTAAAAATTTCAATATTTTCACAATGAAATGAATGCAGAGCATTTACCTTCAGCAAAATCGTTCTTCAATCAAATCTAGAGCAAACTTGTGAAAAAACAATACAAATCAAAGCACAACACTGGATGGTGGAGTTGCAACAAATAAATATTTTCACATTTTAAGGGTAGGTCCTGGGTGTCCAAGTGAAATGTAGGTAGAGCAATCTTGCCCAAACAATAGGGATTCAGTAATTGGGTAGAAACGGCCAAAAATTGAGACGCACACAATAGAAAATGAGTATTTGATTATGATCATTAATGACATAACCTAATGACGTTATGGTTTGTGTTTGTGTCAAATGTTTGTGTGCCTCTTGTCGGCCATATTTGTGTCACGTGTTTTGGATAGTCTAATTAGGCATTCCAACGACCTGTCAAAAAGTGCGTTGTGGCAGAAGTACATTATCCCGTATATGAGAGTATGTAATTTAAAGCTTTTTAAAGTGCATTTTGTGGTTGTTTTGTGAATGAACTCTGTTTATTTTTTTATTTTATTGACTTCATTAGTGTTTCTTCCAATTCAAAAAGGCCACAAACGGGTCTTGAAGTTGATTGTGGAAGTAGTTTCAACAAGGTAACAAGGATGATGTCAGGCTTTTTTCATTGCCCTCTGTTTCAAAATTTTCCAATTAAAACGTGAAAATTTTTCACTACCACTGTTCCTGCGTCTGAAATAAAGCCATTTTCGAAATATTCCTAAGAATCTAAGCTTTTGAAGGCCTTCATTTGCTCATTAATGTGAACTGTGGATCAAAATGTCATCTGGACATTTTTTCAAACCAACCGTTCGACCAGATCCCGATTTTCCTGCATTCAAGTCTTTAAATATTCACTCTGCATCTCGAAAAGTATATTATAACAAAGTAAACTGTAATTAGCTTGAAAATATTCAAAATAAAAACAAAAAAACGTCAAATTTTCCACGGTCGCCATATTGAAAAATCACGTGGTTTGGAGAGCCTAATTGACCTTTTCAATTTAAAAGCCTCTCTCTCTGGCGTCAAACTGTCAGACGCCAAAAGAGTATGAAAACAACGGTTGACAGCCGCTGACAGTGGTTTGTTGTCAAGACTTTTGTACATGTAGAAACTGGAAACTATTATTTCCTCGGTTTTTTCAAAGTTTTTTCCTAACAATGGTGATTGTGTAGTGTGCCTTCTTGTAAAAATAATTCCTATTTACCGGCGGACGTGTCTTTCCATAAGTTTCCATCAAATCCTACATTTATCAAACTTTGGATACATAAAATCAGAAAAAATACTCGCAAAAAAAAGGGAAATCCACGGCCTATCAAGTATACAAAGTAATCCACATTCAAGTTCAGTTTGCGGGAGCTGTTTGCTTCCAAAATAATCCACCGCTTTCTCCATAGCGAAGTTCTGCAAATGAAATAGTGACTTTTCCCACATTTTCTTTCAAAACACCCAATACACACTGGCATTGACAAGCAAGCAAATGTTGGCGGGAAAATGATTGTCTTCATACTTATTGTCCATCTCTTTTAATTGAAAACGTCAATTAGGCATTCCAATGACCTGTCAAAAAGTGCGTTGTGGCGGAAGTTCATTATCCCGTATATGAGAGTATGTAATTTAAAGCTTTTTAAAGTGCATTTTGTAGTTGTTTTCTGAATGAACTCTTTTTATTTTTTTTATTTTATTGACTTCATTAGTGTTTCTTCCAATTAAAAATGCCACAAACGGGTCTTGAAGTTGATTGTGGAAGTAGTTTCAACAAGGTAGGTAACAAGGATGATGTCAGGCTTTTTTCATTGCCCTTTGTTTTAAAATTTTCCAATTAAAACGTGAAAATTTTTCACTACCACTGTTCCTGCATCTGAAATAAAGCCATTTTCGAAATATTCGTGAGAATCCAAGCTTTTGTAGGCCTTCATTTGCTCATTAATGTGAACTGTGGATCAAAATGTCATCTGGACATTTTTTTAAACTAACTGTTTGCCCAGATCCCGATTTTCCTGCATTCAAGTCTTCAAATATTCACTCTGCATCTCAAAATAGTTATTTATGTATCAAGGGTACTAAGTAGATGATTATGCCCTGAGGGCGACAGTCTTACAAAGCCGAGGGCCTCTGGCCCGAGGGTTCGTAAGTCGCCCGAGGGTATATTATCTATTAGTACCCGTGGTGCATACAAACTTTTATGTCATACCAGTTGGTTGTGAATAATAAATACCTAGGAAAAAGTGTCACTTCGCAAATTGTCATCAGTGTGCAAACATCATAATTTTTTGACAAAAATAATATGTTTATAAGCGTAAATTTATATTTTGTTAATAAATAATAAGTTAATTGAAAACTGTTTTTTGCGTCTTTATGCCCGCGCGGGCCATAATGTGTACTTTATGCCCGCGCGGGCCATAATGTGTACTTTATGCCCGCGCGGGCCATAATGTGTACTTTATGCCCGCACGGGCATAAAGTAATGAATTATGTAGATGGTATCCAAGGTATAAAAACACAATAATGTATTGGTATGACATAAAGTATATTATAACTGTATATACAAACTGTAATTAGCTTGAAAATATTCCAAATAAACTCGAGATAAACAAACAAATGTCAAATTTTCCACGGTCGCCATATTGAAAAATCACGTGGTTTGGAGAGCCTAATTAGGAATTCGAACGACCTGTCAAAACTATTCCAAAATGGCGACCGTGGCGGTAGTTCCTCATTCCGTATATGACAGTACAGAATTTAAAGCTTTTTAAAGTGCATTGTGTGGTTGTTTTCTGACTGAACCCTATTTACTTTTTTATTTTATTCACTGCATAAGGCTTTTTTCTAATTAAAAATGCCACCAAGGTGTCTTGTAGTTGATTTTAGAAGGAATTTCAACAAGGATGATGTCAGGTTGTTTTCAGTGCCCAACCTTTCAAATTTTTCCAATTAAAACGTGAAAATTATTCAGTACCGCTGTTCCTGCATCTAAAATAGGGCCATACTCGGAATACTTGTAAGAATCTAAGATTTTGTAGGCCTCCATTCGCTCATTGCTGTAGAGACTAGGTCAAAATGTAAACAAATGTCAAATAGACATTTTTTCAAACTTATCGTTCACCCACATCACGATTTTCCTGCATTAAAGTCTTTGAATATTCACTCTCCATCTCAAAAAGTATATTATAACAAAATAAACTGTAATTAGCTCGAAAATATTCCAAATAATCTCAAGATAAACAAATAAACGTCAAATTTTCCTCAGTCGCCATATTGAATAATCACGTGGTTTGGAGAGCCTAATTGCCAAAACTATTTTTTCGAAAATTCCTCTTTTTCACTTTTTAAATCCCTGTAATTTATGGCTTTTTTTTGGGATCTTCACAATAGGTATTATTTTATTGTTCTATTTTAGGTATCAGATTATGTGGAATTGTTGGCAAGCATCACCATCGCTGAGGCCATCTTTTAAGGATTTGCGAGAAACTTTTGATAAATTATTAGAATCTGAAACGCAATACATAAACTTGGAAGATGCTAAAAAATTGGACTTCAGCCAATATGAAAATTTAAAATCTGAGGAAAATATTTCCGAACGATACATAGTGAGAAATGGAAATATTTTGTAAGATGCCATATAGTTTCACTTCTATAAAGTATTACATTTACCATAATGGAAGCAAATAAAAGTGTACCTAGATATAATAGATTTTTTTTTTAACAAAAGCACTAAATTTATTTAACAAATTTATGTACATGGCACAATAAAAAAAAACATTTAGAATTTATTGAACTTATTACGAGCGTTCTGGTTGGAGAATTTCGCCAATTTGGTGGGAGCTCCACGGAATTCGCTGGTTAGACCAGCGCAACCAGTTACATTCTCAACATCATCACATGCATTAATCAAATCGTTAAAGGCAAGTCCTTCTCCGCAGTTATACAGACGAGGTTTGCTTTCGATACAGATGAAGTACCTTTGACAGTCTTGTGGAGAACGGAAAAAACGGTACTCCTCAGGGCCCAGTCCAAATTGTCTGGCATCGGGTGGACAAGTGAATCCCAAATAGGCTGAAACAATCAAAAATACTTTTATTAGAGTCTAATTTAACAAAATGTTCGAAGTGATGTTGCTCGGCTCAAGCGGTTGTGATATACAGTGTGTCCCGCAGTAAGTGCAACATATTGAAGTGGGTTGTAAAACAAGTCATTTGAGTCAAGGAGCTTCTGTTAAGAAATTTGCACTCGCACAAGTTTTATTCTGAAAAATTGTATATTGCACGGTGGTTTGGATACACAAACCGTCTCATTATGCCCGGTATACGTTGGACGAGGTGATTTTTTTTAATAAAACTTATGCAAGTGCAACAATATAGACCGTCAGATAGTGACAGATTTAGGTGCCCCATTTTCGCATACAAGCCTCGAAGAGGGTCTTTACGAGTGGCTCCTATGGATAATATATGGAAAATTCAATTTTACTTATGCTACCCTAAAATGTAATTTTCCATTTGCGACACTCAAGCCAATATGTTTTCTTGCTACCGACACTGTAGATTTTCATCCTTCCGATGGGCTCGTGTGGAATAATCGCCCAAAATCTCGATTTTTCCTTACAAGATTACGCCCTTATTTCAAACCTTTAGCCACCTGCAACACCCCCTTCTTTGTTCTACGAAGCCAGGTTTAATTAATTAATTATTTGGTGAACACGGCTTGCGAGAAAATATGGGCACTAGGACGTCTTCCATTTCTGTTAGGGAAAATCGAATTTTCCATACGTTATCCCCAGGAGCCACTCGTAAAAATACCTTCATCCTACTCAAAATCGATGTACTTTTCAACCCTCTTCAAGGCTTGTATGCGAAAATGGGGCACCTAAATATGTCACTATCTGACGGTCTAATAGACCCAGCAAGAATTGCAGTGGAGGGCTGGTTAATCGGCCCACTCATTTCAAACCTAACCTAACATGCAAGTGCAACTTTTTTTAAATAATTACTCTCCTGCCAAAGCGGCATCTTTCCGGACAAGGTGTCAAGGATCAAATGACTTTCTCTATCACCGTCTATAACCAAGATCGATAACACGTAATATTTCCTATCGGGTTACCCATCCAACTTTGCAGCGTTGCTTGGATGCGACAGAAACGAATTAGAACTCCACACTTCAAAAGAGAGTTGAGGAGGAACTGCTCAAGATTGGTGGCAGCTACACCAGAAAAGCAAGGGAACCTTCACTTCCTCTCAACCACAGAAGTCAGCAACAAAAACTCCCATCGTCTATGAAGTGGCATCACTTTCGGGAGGCTTGACCGATCGGAGATAATCAGCAGGAACGTCAGGGTACTAAGAGCTATCACAGGACCATCGTACCTACACCTTGGTACTGCAGAACACCGAGATGAAAATTATAAACCGAATCTTCTTCAGAGATAGGTTGGTTGGTTTTAGGGGGGATCTAGGCGCTGTGGCCTTCCTTGCAATGCAGCCTGTTGGTTTATTGTGCACCCCAATTTCCTTCCTGCCCTACAAGAGTCTTGTTCCCTGTATCAGGCCGTTGGACAAGATTTCCAGACGGCATTCTATCCCCGGTCTGTATTGCTCTGAAGAGTCTGTATCTTTTGCGTAATAGGGCCACACAGTAATTATATGATGTGAGAAGCTGTTTCTTCTTCCTCTCCACATAGTCTGCATTCAGTGGGTCCATTGAATATCCCCATCCTGTGCTCATGTTTCCTCAAGTAACAGTGTCTTGTCAATAACCCTATCACTTGTTTCATATTTGTGCGCGTAAGACGTAGCGCGTCTATTGTTAATTTCGTTGAAGGGTTTTCTATTACAGCCCTTGCGTGATATTGTTCAGGTGTTGTATTCTAACGGGCCAAATATTGTCTTTTCGACCATTTATTCAGTGTTGCCTTTACCACTTGGATGGACATTCCAAAACTGGGCTTGGGGCCTATGAATGGAGTTGCAGCTCCACTTCTCGCCAGCCCATCTGCTTTTTCGTTGCCCTCTATCCCTGAGTGGCCAGAAACCCAGAGGAGTCGAACCTTGTTTTCCTCAGCAAGCTGCTTATCAGGTCAGTGAGGCACTCAATCATCATTCGGGAAGTGATCCGAAATGAATTTAGCGCGTTCAGTGCTGTTTGGCTATCCGTGAGAATAGCTGCATTTTGGTTTTTACACCATCGCGTAATATTCTGTTGGATGCACGCATGTATAGCAAAGACTTCTGCTTGATATACAGGGTGTCCACTTAGTGCGATATCGGACGATATCTCCTTACAGGATGGTGCAAGAAAAAAAAAATTGAAAGTTGTTTGATGCATTAATTTAAAATATGTTTAAATATAAAGGGTGCTCCGTAAATAAGGTATACGACAGAACTTTGTTATTTCAAATGGAACACCCTATATTTTAGTACATTAATGGATCTTTTTAAAAATCCCACATACTTTTTGTTAGGAATTACCTCGGAAATTACCTATACTGAAACTCAACCGTTTCTGAAATATTTAATATTAGTTTGCATGTGTCAACAAAAACCAACATATTTCATTCATTTGAGATCCTATAATCTAAATCTTGTGCAGGTTGTTAGTGCATACTTTCATTTACTTCATGGTCATTCAAAATAGTCATATGTGAGTTAGAAGAATTGTTGCCATAATAATTACATAAAAATCAATTCCCAAGCAGCGCTTTTACGTCCTTACAACGTCGTCATTGATGTCTTGACGTTAAGGCGCGACGTCAAATAGACGACTATACAACCCATATTGACACCAAAATGGAGAATCATTTCAGGGTTGTAATGACGTCGCAGGTCGCGAGGCTTTACTAATTTTTAACTTATACATTAGCATACACAACCAGATTTAAACTTTTACTAAACGTCGTAAACCATGACTAACCTAAAAATAAATACCAAACCAAATTTCCGTTCCAGGTTTAATATATTGCACCAAATTCGCACTTTTGGTTTATTATTGGTGTTATTTTATTTCCCAACTCATCACATTAAAAACAAAAGTACCTATAAGAATATTGGGGACATAAAATAATAATGGCGCCTGGCCTTGTCAACAATAAAATACGTGAAACTAAATATTTAGCTCCTGTAGGCACAAAAATTTCAAACGAAGTCAACTTTTCTGTCAAATATAATTATGATATCCACACAAAACAAACGGACTCCTATTTTGTTAATATTTTCCAAAACAAAACAAAAAAATCTGTAATTTACATAATTTCTTATATAGTTCCGATGGGTCAAGAGCATCTTTTGGCAAGTCCGATTTACACAAAAATAAATAATTTTGTCAAAATTTCCTTATAAAGGATTGATTTTTCAGATATTATTTTATTTTTATTAAACGTGCAGCAATGGCGGATGATATATAAAATGCGATATATAAAATGGAGTTAATAATCTGCACCTTATCCTAACCTAATGCGTGTTTCCGTCATGAAAATGGACTTAATCTATATAAACATAGAACCATAGGTAATAAAATACTACAAACATATAAACCTAGATTGACTATAGGTCCCATATTATGGTAGCCTATCGTAACCAGTTCTTTAGGTGCTTCAGCACTCTCATTTATTTGAAATTTTTCAGGAAACTGTAAATGTTTTACTTTTGATGTTGTTCAAAGTCTTGAAATATTTCCTTTTAACCCGACATTTATTGGATCTTTTTTAATTTCCTAATTGGAAATTACAGGGTTCTCTCCCAATTTCCCTTCTTGCTCCATTTCCTTCATGGTTGGAATAATTTCTCCCTTTTCACTAAATCTAAAAAAAAAAATTCTTTTCTAATATGTGGATGAGTATTTGAAACTCCCGTTCTGTCCCATATCATATCAAAAATGCAAAAGCAAATACTTATTCAAATTGTTGAGAACTTTTTATAGTAACGCCATATCTATTGTTTGTTTAGGTTTTTATTTGACCGATGACAGTTTATTAACGAACGACGCAAAAAGTACCTATGAAATGCTACAACAAACCTTTGTCCAATTTTAACGTTGGCCGGACGTTTTTCTAAGACCTCTATCTGACCTTATGATTGGTCGTGTCAGACGACGTTTTTAAAATGTTTCAGAGGTCACAGGATAAGAAGATAACGACGGATTGACGTCTTCAATGCAACGTTGAATTTGGTACAATATTATGACGCCCATTTTACGATTTTTATCTTACCTTATGATTGGTCGTATTAGACGACGTTTAAAAAACGTTTCAGAGGTCACAAGTATACAAGAGAACGACGGATTGACGTTACCGATTTAGCGTTGAGACTGGTTTTCATTTATTACGTCAAAATTGAGCTAGATAAAGGTCTGATTTCTTGACCATCTTAAGGACAAAGGCACGACGTAATTTTAACGAAAAATCATTGTCGGACACTTATCTGCACTTCTGGCGACGTTGTATTTGGTTAATACGTAGTCGCAGGGACATGTATGTGGTACTTGGGTTGACAAGTGACTATCGTGGATACTAAGGGAGAAAATAGAAAAAAGTTCAAGAAACTCGATAATTATCACAGTTAGTATAGGCAATATTCTATAAAATAGGAAGCTTATATCTTGGTAAAAAAATTGAAACAAGAAAATTCCATTTGAAAAAAAAAAGAGCTATAATGGTTGCTTAAAATGTCTGGTTTTGTGAGCAGTATTGCGAACACCCTGTAGAGTGTTAACAGATTTTCATAGGACCATGGAGTAAATGTAAGTACCCCATACATGTCCCTGCGACTACGTATTTACCAAATACAACGTCGCCAGAAATGCAGATACAGTGCAGATAAGTGTCCGTCAATGATCTTTCGTCATAATTACGTCGTGCCGTCGTCCTTAATATGTGGTCAAGAAATCGGTCATTTATCTAGCTCAATTTTGACGTAATAAATGAAAACCAGTTTTAACGTTAAATTGATAACGTCAATCCGTCGTCCTCTTGTATACTTGTGACCTCTGAAACGTGTTTTGAACGTCGTCTAATACGACCAATCATAAGGTAAGATAAAAATCGTAAAATGGACGTCATAATATTGTACCAAA